CAGGAATGCTGGATAAATGCAATACCTTGGATAGTTCGAAATCAGTGAACTCGATCGCGAAAGCGACCCTGAAAAGGGACTCCTTCTCATCCTTGAACGGCCAGCGAAAGTACAAGACCAGCTTGGGTGAGCGAAGGGACTCCGAGGCGAGCATTGAGGGTAGAAGTTGTAGCTCGCATAGCCTGGCGCCTTTCACACGTCCTAGTTCGTCCCTGATCAATTCGCAGACGGTCCTATCGTCCCTGAAGAGCAACGCCGTCGTCTCGAACGCCATGAATAGAGAAATGCCTTCGGGCGAGAGCGTGGTGACGAAGAGTATATTGCCAAAGGTCCAGAGGACTCACTCAAACTTGCAGAATGGCAAGGCGAATATACCGCTCGTGATAAACAGCACGTTGCTGAATTTACTACGGCAGACGCCCGTTGTCGAGGACGGTAATAACATCGTCACATATACAAATATAAACGTGGACGCAGTCAGAGTGAACGGATCGTGAGTCGCCGACCGTGGCAAATCTAAAGATTTATACAAACATTTCGTATAAAAATAAGCGAGATTTGTACGAATCGTTTCTGAGCTTGAATTACGTAAATCGAGGCAATTAAATATTCTAATATTTATAAAGTATGACAATAGATTCTACACAAATCACTCATACTATTTTTAAAGCAAGATTTTTTTATGTGATTACCATAGTAGACCTATTCTTCTCCACAAACTATCCAGATGGATTTGCCTTGTAGCTAAAAAATTACTCGAGACAGTCGCTACGATTTTGCTCAAATTTTTTTGTTTCTTTTCTTTTTTATCCAAATGCGGTGCCTTAAATATATCAAACATACGCTCATACATTAAGCTCTGTTTATACCATTAATGCCCAAGTATTTCATATGTGAAGATAAAAGATAGAAGGAGCGGAGTTGACAATAGCTTTAAACTGCCATTTTAATGTACATACATGAACTTTTATACTCAAAAATTTGTCACGCAGATATGGCAGATCGTTTTGGAACGTAAAAATTTTGCAACTTTAGTAATAATCGCGAAATTGTTATTTAATGTAGGAATATGTTAATAGAGAATGATAAATGTGAAATATATATAGTTTAAAGTTTAACTTTATAATTATGACTTTAAATAACATATTTATTGAATAAAATCTGAGAAATGTTTCACTTCATTGTACAAATTTCATGTTTGATGATAATTATAGCAAATATGAAAATCAATATAAGAAATTGTTAAGTTTTCTGCGTAGTTTTAATAACATGAAAACGTGTATTTTTATTGAAAAGATCAATTAGAATGTATAAAATCTTGCGAAGTTTGTGTCGATGGACTGACTATACTTGAAATTTGTATTTTCAAGTAGCTTTATAGGAAAATAAATTGTGAATCAGTAAATACTGTAACTAAATAATTGTAAATAATATATTACAAACAATATACATCGATTGTTTTTAACCTACATGTTTACAGTTTTACACGATATAATTCAAACTCAATTAAGATATCAAATTAGTGTCACAGGGAAATGTACACAAATGAGATACTATTTTTCTTTCTTTGTGATAAATAAGTAAATTTCCAGTGTATATTTTAGAAACTCACTAATTTTTAAAAGTTGCTTTTATACATGCATTGTTGCTATTTTATACATGAATAATATTAATATGCATTCAAAATGGTTTTGAAGATTCAAAAGATTATTAATAAGACTGTATCTACATACATATTGGATTTTCTTTTTCACATATATCTTGCTTTTCCTGGTTCTCAGCTTAATTTTTGCATCAGTCTTCATACATATTCATCTCTGGGTGTTTTCCCTATTAGTTAGGTTCCTGCGGTTCCTGAAATTTTAAATATACACATATCTAAATATATTTATTATATAAGATATTTTTTAAGTCGTAAAAAAGAAAGGATACAGTTATATATTTAGTCTGATGTAACAAAAACTAAAATTGAAAAGCTAATATGACTTGGATCTCTCTGTTTATGTTCCAGTGTTAAGAAAACATTAAGAATTTTATAATTCTACAATACTTAAAGTAACTTTCAATCTCAATGTTATATATATTTATAAATGTATAAATGTATACAGTTTACAATACTCTGTCTCAATCTCTATCTCTTCAGTTTACAATATTTAATTTCAACAAGAGATATCCAAGTCATATCAGCTTCTATTATTACATCTAAGTGAATGTATAATCCTATTCTTTCTTTTCTACATAACCTAAAAATTGTCTATAGTAAAAAAAGTAATATAAATTTATTTACCTAAGTCTCATTTGTAAGAGGTACATCATCATCAAAGGAATCATCCTTACTATGTTCATGCAATAGAACATATTCTCTGGTGCTAAAGCCAAACCGTACCACATCCTTTTCTAATAATTCATGATATCTCCTTGGTTCTAATTTTACATTATTTACAAAGGTACCATTTGCGGACTCTAAATCAATAATATATGGTCGTATTCTTCTACCTTCAACACCACCTTCTTTTTGATAAGAGATTAAACGGTATTGCAGAGCAGCATGTTGCTTAGAACATGAGGGATGATCTAAAGGTATATCAGCTACTTTGCGATCTCTGCCCATAAGATACGCTGACTGCCGATGTATGTACAATGTAGGTAATGCCTTCTCACCTTTGAAGGGATACAATCTCCATCGACGCTTAGGTTTTTTGGCGTCTAGAGGCTCAGAGTATTTTATAACTACTCCATTGACAGTATTCATGTCCTCCGTCAATTTTCCTGACAGCTCAAAGTTGGGCTTTTCTTTCTCCTCCTTCACAGTAGATTTTCCCCATTCTGCAGAGGACTCCCTCTTCACTCTCGTCTCCTCTGGACTTCGCTTTTGCTTGTGCTGATCATTGCGTCTTCTGCTGGAATCGTCTCTTCTGTCTTTACTTCTGCTCCTCTCGTTACGTTCTCTGTGCCTGGGATGACTATTCTCTCTCCTCAACGGTGATCTCTCGTGCTTCCTCTTGTCATTCTGCTTCTCATCATCTCTTCTGGAGTGATCGCGTCTACCACTTCTGTGATCCCTGTCTCTGCTTCTCTGCGATCTATCTCTGTAAGTCTCGTTACTCCTGTCGCGCCTGTTTTCTCTGTTATTTTTATACGTGTCTCGTCGCTCCACTGCATGACTAGACCTCCAATTTGACATACTTTCCAGGTTTATTCGAACTGAATCCTAAGATTTCCAATAATTCCGTATAATAAATCAAACTAACAAAGACTCCTTATAAATCAAAAGAACTAGGAAAGAACATGGGCAATAGGAATCAAAACGCGGAACATAAAGCGTAAAACTTCTTTATTTTTAATAAACGCGCTTATATGTTTCGGCTCATTTTTTAGCCTTCTTCAGAGACAACATACACTCACATATATAAAATGTAACAAAAATTAACTTGTCATGGTGAGCTCCCCCGCATCGAGAATATAATTGCCAAAATTAAACTCGGATAAAAATAAAAGAAAGAAAAAAGAAAAAAAGAAAAGAAATTTTGAAAATATCAAAATAGAGAAAATAGAAAACTAATGTATCAGAAAACTTTAAAATTAAAATTAATTATCCCGAAAATTAGGAAGCTCACCCTGATCACAAGGCACCATATCGCAAACATTACTATTAATAATTCAAAAACCGGTTTCTGATACGGTATGTTGGTCAGTCAGTGTCAGACACAGTGTGAGTCCCTATTTTAGATTTAATTAATCTTTATTGAGGTAGCAATGAGAAAACTAACGTTAAAAAGTTAATCAAATCCAAGAAAGGAAATTTGGAAAATAATCTAAAATCACGCCAGAAAGACTTCTTCCTGTGTGCGAGCGATTTCCAATAATCGTCGATTAGCAAACCTAACCTAACTTACTTGGTTAGATTAATCACAGCAAAATCGTAACAGATCGACGTTGTTACATGTATAATAATTATGTAAGATCAACGTACCTCCTTTTATTATGATTTGTCAAAGAAACAATCCGTGTTATGATTTTTGTACTACGAACTAACAGTACAGTAAAGAAATAACACGAAAAAGATTGTATATCAACCGTCAATCGTCAACGCTTATTGACGTTCATTTTCGTTGTCGTTAGCGTTTGTGGTGCTCTCTGATTCGGAAGTTTCCGGAAACTTTCGAACAACTTCGGACCGTCTTGCGCACATGGCGTGTAGAAATGTGAAACGACATCTCTCTCTCAATCGACATTTCGTTTTTTTAAGAAAATGAAAAATTTGATTGTCGATTTTGATGTTTCTTTTATGATAGTATATATAATATCGTTAAACATTCCCACAATATTTTTTTTGTTATTTTATCAAGATGTCATTTCACGATATTTTTTCTTCTATATTTTTAAATGTTTCACAATTTTTAGCTGAAAAAGACTATAGTTGAAATACGTAATAGTGATAGATTTGAGCATTATTATTATTAATATTAAATTATTTTTTATTTATTTTAACGTCTTTTCAATTTACTTATTTCTTGAATTTTCAACCTTTTTTATATTTTTAACTTTATTTAAAAAATTTGTAATAATTAAAAATTTCTTTTAAAAATTCTCTCCTTAATCGAAAAAAAATTTGTTCTTTTTTATCATATTTAGAAATGGCATTGCTGAAGATTTTAATATTATATTATTATATAATTTTTATATATTAAATATTGTAGATATAAATATATTAAATGATCTATTTTTCTAACTTCGATCCGGACATATAGAATGCACCATGCGAACATAAAAAGACTGCGTTTTATTTCGTATAAAAAAGTACAAAATTATTCTTATATGTACATAATAATACATAGTTAAGATATCTACAAGGATATTCGAAGTAATTTGCCACGTTGCGATTCTTCGCCTCACTCCGACATCCTTACCCTCTTTCCTACATTTTTGCCCAAATCACATAAAAAAACGCATCACACAATGTCGAAAAATCGTCGTTTTTACATTGTTTTTCGTTAGCATTTAACCATTGACATTCATTATCGCGTAAGAAACACACAGACCTAAATCAATTCCTTCTCCTTCATCACGAAACGACAAAAAAGTTAAATTCCATTTAATTAAAGTCGTTTAGTTAAAATCGAGAAGTACGTTATGCAAAGAACTTTCTTTATCCGCAACAGAGACAAAATCTTGAATATACGTATATCCATGTTGTACAATCTCTCAAAAAAGAAATTCTGCGTCCGGCCGTAGATTAAACATTAAATTTTTAAATATTTCGAGAAATAGCTTTTTTTATGAGCTAATTAAAACGTCGAGAAGGTAGAGTCGTCGATGGAATCGGTGCCGTCGGAGTTGCTCTCGGCGGCGTCTACGAAGGCCGTTGAGAGATCACCGGCTAGCTTGCTAACGGCTCCAGAGGTCACGTCGTACATGAAGATTTCCTTGTCACCTTGACCGTCATCATCTCTCGGCCTAAAACACCGCAGTGAATCCGAGTGAAAGCGCGCAGCCTCGCGAATTCCTTGACTTTCGAGCAGATTTACGAGACGGACGAACCGTCGATTGTAATACGCGACAAGAGAATATTAATCTTTAGTACATACGATAGGTCATTCTTATCCCCCGTTAACTTTAAGTGATTCGTACATAAATCACTTAACATCTTCAAAAAGTATTTGTGTGTTTAAAAAATTGTATTATTAATTACTTGATGCTTTTATTTTATTGAAGAAAAAAAGTGTGCAGGACACGGAATGATCCAATCGTGTGTACTAAGATCGAGTTAATAATATTTTCCCGCTCTTTATAACAATTAATGATAATTATATACTTTAAACCAAGCTTGGTTAGTAAGAAGCTCATGTGCGGAAGTTGATATTAAACTATGTAGTCATTGAGAACTAAAGTAACAAAGCTTCGACCTCGGTGAAACGCACATTCCCTCCGTTTTTGCCAACTTTCGATTGGCAGCAGTTGAGAATAAAAAATTAATGGAACGAATAGTCGATCAGCGTAAAAATAAAAAAAATTCTAAATAATCATTGCTGAAAAATAATAAATTTGGAAGGTGTTAAAGAATTTAGTAACTGCTTATAATAACGTTAAACAAAATAAATATAAAAGATAGATTAAAATTGTGTTATTTTAAACAGAATAAAAGATAAACCCACACAGCACACTTTAGTAGAGGGACGGTCCTTAGGATGTAGAGCGTCCTCTGGATGTCTTTAAGACATCCCTTGGAGGTCTGTGCTCAATGGGGAAAGTAAAGAAATTTTTATTTCATCAGTAAAATATGATAATCATTCGTAAAATCGGAAAATAATATTTAAATCTACGCTACATCGACTTCCGTCGCAAAACTTCCGTCGCAGATATATGGTGATGTAACGTATCGATTTTTTTTAGAAAGCGGCACTGAAGAAACAACAAATATCTAAAAGTGCCTGAAGCGTTAAGAGGAAATGAATCGCGACAATTTTATTACACGTACAAACATCACGTTTAATGGAATACTTACATAGTCACTAGAAGAACGACAGACTGTCTCTGCGGCTCGGTGCGGCTCTCCTGTTCCAGCCATTTCTTATAATTCTCCGCGGTGGGTTTCTTCACGAGTTGCTTGAGGGTGTCACCGGCGAGAAACCTGACGGGCTGCGCATCGCCGCCGGTCTTCCTGCTGCGCCGCTGAGACTCCGCGATCTCCCTCTCCTCGCCGGGAAAGTCGTAGTCGACGGG